GTTGGTTTTGATATTTGCGACAAGTTTAGTTTTTGATATTACTGTACTGTACTGTACTGTACTGTACTGTACTGTACTGTACTGTACTGTACTGTACTGTACTGTACTGTACTGTACTGACTGTACTGTACTGTATTAACCAGAAAATTATGGAATTATTATCAGCTTCCATTACATTTTCTTAATAAATGTATGATCTGTATCTATGTTTGTTTGTCCAAACTATAATGCTTATGAAGTCCATGACCGATTTGTTTCAAATTTTGATCGGAATATACCAGATAGAATGCTCTTAGCGTGGTTAAAATATTTTCAGTTATATTGGTCAATCTTAAAAGAGAAAGCTAGTTTTCAGACAAAGCTGGGTTCCCAAGTTTGTTTTGGTGTTTTCCTGTTTGTTTGGGTGTCTGTGAGTCTGTTTGTTAAGTTGTCTGTTTATCTGTTTGTGTAAATGATATAATAATTTGTCTAAATGATTGTGGTAAACCATATATCCTCTCATCCATCCATCTATCCATCCTTCCATCCTTCCATCCATCTATCTATCTATCTATCTATCTATCTATCTATCTATCTATCTATCTATCTATCTATCTATCTATCTATCTATCTATCTATCTATCTATCTATCTATCTATCTATCTATCTATCTATCTATCTATCTATCTATCTATCTATCTATCTATCTATCTATCTATCTATCTATCTATCTATCTATCTATCTATCTATCTATCTATCTATCTATCTATCTATCTATCTATCTATCTATCTATCTATCTATCTATCTATCTATCTATCTATCTATCTATCTATCTATCTATCTATCTATCTATCTATCTATCTATCTATCTATCTATCTATCTATCTATCTATCTATCTATCTATCTATCTATCTATCTATCTATCTATCTATCTATCTATCTATCTATCTATCTATCTATCTATCTATCTATCTATCTATCTATCTATCTATCTATCTATCTATCTATCTATCTATCTATCTATCTATCTATCTATCTATCTATCTATCTATCTATCTATCTATCTATCTATCTATCTATCTATCTATCTATCTATCTATCTATCTATCTATCTATCTATCTATCTATCTATCTATCTATCTATCTATCTATCTATCTATCTATCTATCTATCTATCTATCTATCTATCTATCTATCTATCTATCTATCTATCTATCTATCTATCTATCTATCTATCTATCTATCTATCTATCTATCTATCTATCTATCTATCTATCTATCTATCTATCTATCTATCTATCTATCTATCTATCTATCTATCTATCTATCTATCTATCTATCTATCTATCTATCTATCTATCTATCTATCTATCTATCTATCTATCTATCTATCTATCTATCTATCTATCTATCTATCTATCTATCTATCTATCTATCTATCTATCTATCTATCTATCTATCTATCTATCTATCTATCTATCTATCTATCTATCTATCTATCTATCTATCTATCTATCTATCTATCTATCTATCTATCTATCTATCTATCTATCTATCTATCTATCTATCTATCTATCTATCTATCTATCTATCTATCTATCTATCTATCTATCTATCTATCTATCTATCTATCTATCTATCTATCTATCTATCTATCTATCTATCTATCTATCTATCTATCTATCTATCNTGGAATTTATTGTTTTATTAAATATTTAATGAGTTATATATCATAATCTGCACAAAATAGATAATTTTATAGATGGATAGAAAGATATATAGAATAGATAGATAAATAAATAGATTGAAAGACAAAGTATATTCCTTTCCTTTTCTTTTCCTTTTATTTCAATTTTTTTATATCTTTTTAGAATTTGGGGAAATATTCCCACAACCTCTATTTTTAGAGGTCAGGGTAAACAACAAAAATCTAAATCTGCACTATACACCCCTTTACCTATCAACCAACCACCTCCGTCCTCCACCCCCTTTTCCTACTTTACTGTGAAATTTCGAACGATCTTAACGAAAAGGTCGATCCAGTCATATTCATTCATTCATATTTTTATTCAATTCTACAAAGCATGAGATATTACAATGAAGCAATCACAATTTACTATGCAGTTTGGACGCGCCTAACCAGGGTAGGTTGTTTTAAGTGGTCGGCCCTAAGTTAGATAACGATACTGAACATAATTGGTTACAAACATCAAGTTATGTTTTTGGATAGGTAAGGAGTTGATTTGAAGGAAGGAGATTGTCAGGTGATCTGTGGCAGGGTGAGATCAGAGGGATTAATGTAGAGATAGATTAAAATACAGGGTGCAGGTGTTAAGGATGGTGGATAGTCTTACCATACATAGTCTTACCCATTCTTTAAAACAATCTTTTTAACTTGCATCAAACTAATGATTGGCGCTTCCCTAACCATATTCTAGAAAATCACAGAGTTTATTTTGTAATTTCATTAAAACATCTATATACTACAGCACAGGATAGATAGATAGATAGATAGATAGATAGATAGATAGATAGATAGATAGATAGATAGATAGATAGATAGATAGATAGATAGATGGATGGATGGATGGATGGATAGATAGATAGATAGATAGATAGATAGATAGATAGATAGATACAGTAAGAACCAGAAAACCATGGAATAAAACGACGACATTAAATTAACACAAAGTTGTATTTGTAACAGAGCAAATAGTTTTCCTTGTAACTTATTAAATCTATGGATTAAGTTTTTATTGAAATCTGAAGTTTACCTTAGTTTGACGTGGCATAGATAGAAATTAAACATATCCAGAGAATGATCAAAGAGATAGATAGATAGATGATGTTGTTGAATTTAAGGGACAATTTTTTTAAACCCCTTAAAAAGAGATAGATAGAAACCCCTTAAAAGTTTTTTTTTAACTTGTATGATAATTTATTATCTATTAATATTTTATTTATTCTTATTAATATAATTATCATTTTCCTTTTTATTTCTATTATTACTATTATTATTGTTTTTAATATTATTATCATTTTCATTAGGATATTTATTATTTCAGATTTCTAAAATAACATTTTTGAGGATAAAAATCGTTAAGATTTATAATGTCAAAAGTTTGTTTTTTATTGATGGGTATATTTTCTATGTTTATTCAATCTTAATAAATGGAAGAAATGTGTTGTTTATAACATTCATACATACACACATACACCCATACATACATACATACATACATACATACATCGTATTTTTATATAAATATTAGAATGCCTTCATGATGTGTATATTGATACGAAATCAATTAGCTCATCTTGATCAGTTATATTTTGTATATATTTTAATTAATTATATTGTTGTGTCCAGGCTATCTACAAACCTTAATTATCTACTGATTAATTAATATAAAGGTTGTATGTTGACTAACTGGTGTTATCAATTACAGGTGTCTAGGTGTGGAGGATAGGGATGGGCATCATTTTTAACGTTTAAAGGTTTAAAGGGACTGAAAGCGTAATTTTGAGTGACCCTCCATTAAAGGGACTGTAAGCGTAATTTTGAGTGACCTTCCATGAAAGGGATTGTAAGCGTAATTATTACGGGTTCGACTTAGTGACCTCTTAAATCCTCTACTGTTGATTTTAAGAACAATAAATAAATAATAAAGCCTTTTATATTTGCAACCTAAGATCATTTTATCTAACAGATTTCATAAATTGAAAAATCAAATTGAAATACAAATTCCTTTACTTTATGTTGACTAAAAATAAGTAAAGTTGAAAAATATAAATTTATAAAAGAAAAAATGTTGAGTCTCCTAAAGATAAAAATGTTTTATGTTTAAAATTAAAACAGCGCCTATCTCTACATGTGAGAGCGATAAACAAAAGAGTAATTAATTTTTATCGTTAATTGGAAGTAGGCATAATAAATTATAAAACTTTTATTAATTATTAGATTTCATCATTTTAATTAAAGATACGAGAAATTTTATTTTACAAATCTGATATTTAGAGCTTCGAAAACCTTTTTTTGTACTTTGTAACTTTTTACAGTTTTAATTCTTTCTTAACTTAAATTAAAAATAAAGATTAAACAAAACCTGATATTATAGCTTTGGAACTCAGCTTTGCTTGGAAACTAAGTTTTCCACATAAATACTAACTTATTAGACTTAGAACTTTAAACCAAAGCAAAAAAATGTCCCATGGTTTTACCAAGCTTTAACCAAAATTTAAGGCAAATTGGTTTTTGAGTTATGATCTGACATAAAAACAAATAAATATGTAAACAGAGATTACTACGTTTTAATTATATAGGCTATGGTAACTAAGTGACAAAAAAAACAAATAAATATATAAACAGTGATTACTACGTTTTAATTATATAGGCTATGGTAACTAAGTTTTCTTTTTAAAAATCGACACACTCAACAACAAAAACTAAGTACATTACCGGGCTTCTGTCTATGATTAAATATTGCTTGTTCTCCTCTTGTTATTGATCTCCAGATTAATTAACAGATCGGGATTAAGGATATTCCATTCTAAAGTTTTCAGCTCTGGAAACTCTTGTATTGTGGATATCGGGATCAATTCTTGATAACGATCTCTTGCTAATCTGCAGATTAATTTAATATTATCCGCAGTGTAATTGTACCCTGAAAAAATAACTGAAATGAAGAGATTAATCATTGATTCTCAACACAAAAGTTTCCAGCTCAGGTTGAAAATTAAAAGGTTTGTTTCAAAAAACAAATTTAATTAAAATTGTTTATTATGTTGTAAGCCCAAAAACATAAATTTTTCTTTTTTTGACAAAAATAGTTTATATTCTAAATTGAGTATTAAGATGAAAGATACGGCCCCCTCCCCTGCAGAGTTATTTATAACTCACATGTGTAGATATATAAACTTCACAAGAAATATAAATGTTGAAATCTGATATCAGAACAACTGTTTATCTTGAAACAATTACAATCAAATACTATTTTAAATTATCAAATTACACAGAATATATTTTAAAATTTTTATTTAAGAAATAAGCACAGCCATTTATACAGTTAATAATATTCTTTTGTTAACTCCATTCTTCTTTGATACGTTGATTTTAAAATTGATCTTTGGATTGATTTTCTTGATTTAGTTTATGTCTCCTTATGTACGTCCCCAAGTTGCCCCTCTAGCCGTGTTCTATCATCTATCACTAATGATAGGTTTCATATTACCGTGGACAGAAAACTCATTAGCTAAGACATGCCGGCCCGGTCCCTGTACACTGTACACACACTACACTAATTCGCGGATTTCGGGATTTTTCTTCTTGGCGGATTTCAATACCATTGTTTGGTTTGGTTACTCGGTCAAAATTTGATGATTTCCGTTGAGTGTTTAGTGAACACATGTTAGAAGATAGAATATGATATTGTAGATTGGTTAGAACCAAGGTTAAATCAGGTTGCTTCATTTGTTTTACAAAATGGAGGATTAGGAGCTGATCTTTCAGAGAAACGTTCCAGGTTTGGTGTACTTCGGACTAGGTTGAATGTTCTAGGTTTGGTTTACTCCGGTTCTAGGTTTTGGTTTACTCCCTGTCTTGAAGGATGGCTGGAGAATGGAATTGACAGAATGAATCATGGTCTCGGGTTCCAGCAATCTGTAAAATGTCAGCTATCTATCTATCTGTCTTCTATCTGTCCATCTATCTATCTAGAACCAGCGGGGGGCCGACATAACAACGTTCAACAAGCGAATGCTTCTTGGAGAGGATCAAGGGACATATTTAGGGATCAGGGGAATTAAGCAGGATCCACAATAGTTTAAAAGAATCCCGGAGAACTTTAAAAGGATCCTGGACAGTTTTTGAGGATTCTGAGTAGTTTTGAAGGATCCTCAGTAGTTGAGAAGGATTAAGAAGAGTTATGTAGGATCAACAAAGATGCGAAGGATCGCAAATTACTGTAGGATAACTCATTGTTCAAAATATCAGTGTTTAATGCTTTAGTTTTTATCACTTAGATTTATCTGAAAGGTTTATATAGAAGCTCAGGTTTAGAGGTAGAAAAGATTGAATCAGGAACTTTGTTTACGGAAGAACGGGAAGGATAGGACGAGGAGCTCCATATAGAGAGGAGAGTAGGTGGGCCGGAAGACCGGATGGATGAGGCGGAAGACCTGCAAAGTGTGGCGGAAGAGTTTGAGAAAGATGAGGAGGGAGGGAGGAGAGATGAGGTGGGAGGGTGGTGAGATGAGGAGGGAGAGAGGGATGGTGAGGAGGAGGAGGACCGGCCGGAGATCTGGAGTAAGGATGATATCTTGACTCCGAGGTAGGAGGACTAGCTGAAGGTGTGGAGCGAGAATTAGAGCGAGGAGAACCCTGAGAAGGAGAGGGTTGGCTCCTTAGTGCTGCGGCCTGAGCTTGAAGAACAGCTAGAGCACTGGAGCTGGTTGGAGCATGAATGGGTGAGGTATGGGAGCGAAGGTGTCCCATCAGCTCCTCGCTAGAGTTAAACCTCCTGCCACAGAACTCCTTCCCCTGCATCCAGTTGCAGGAGAAGGGTGAGGATCCGGTAGGAGCGGAGGTGGAAGGAGGAGGTGCTCCTGGAGCCTCCTGAGTGGCTTGTGGGAGCCCTTGGAGGTAGGGAGGGGTGTACGGGAGCCCAGGGAATCCAGGGAATCCAGGTTGGAGCATTGGATAGGGAGAAGGGTAGCCAAGAGGAAGACTAACTGGGATACCAGGATATCCATATCCTGGAAAAAAAGAAAATGAAAATTAATCCAACGACAAAATATTTATTTAATGGAAATACTGAAAAAAGACCATTTTAAAGATTTCTTTTAAATTCTTGATCTTCTTGAACAAACTAATTTTTTAAATAGATAAAACACTGGGAAAAAATTATTGTAATAGTAAATATACCTAGAGACTGAGACAAATACTGAGCCTGGGCGGATCTGAGAGCAAAGGTAGGACAGGATGGATCTCGGCAGAGAGGATCAGTACAGGGGGGAGGAGCAGAACCCTGAGCTAGATACTGGGAATACTGGAGAGCTTGTAGTCCAGCCATACTTGTCACTGGTTGCCCATAGAGGTGTGCAGTTAGTCCGTAGCTACTCATTGGTAGTCCCGGTAGTCCGGGGAAAGGACCTGATAGACCGGAGGGGGGTCGAGGAGACGAGTTGGATAAACGGGGGGACGATGCTGGTAGTTTAGGTGATGAGGACGAGTAGGGGGAGGAAGAGTTCTTGGGAGAACTTGTCCGAGGGGAGAGGGACTCCGCTGATTTCACTTTTAGGGCTCCAATTTCAGGTCTTTTGGGAGCTTTTAGGTCTTTAGGTGGTTGAGGTTGGGAGCTAGAGGGAGATATACGTGAACTAGACACTAAAGACAGAGGCTCTAGTTTGAGGCTTGTAGATGCATATATGGAGCCTAATGGAGATGCTCTGGGAGACACTTTCTGGAGCGGTAGGGCGTCTAGGGAGCTTCGAGTAGGAGCTGTTCGAACTGGGAGGTGAGAAGTGGGAGCAGGGGTGTACATTGGAACAGTAGATACAGCTCCTCTGTAGGGAGCAGAGGATCCTGGAGAGATGGATTGGGAGGGGGAGGGGAGAAGGGAGCGGGTGGGAGGAGATGGTGGATTCCTGGACTCAGGAAGGAATGGAGATGGTTTAGATGAAAGCATCTCTGTCTCTAGTTTATTACAAGTATTAGCAAGCATCTCCAGAGGACTCTTCATGCTCTGAAGAAAAACAGAGATGAAAAATAAATTTGAATTATGAAACTAATTTAAATATTTAGCAAAATAATATGATTATTTGGCAAATAATTACCTCAGTACTGCTAGGTTGAATGTAACTTGATGAAACTGCTGTTAACTGCATTTTGATTAAATACTAACTTAACGTGAGAAGCTCTATTTTTTAAACATTTCTAGAAGTTTACTCTTCGAAAACTGAAACTCGACTGACTCATAGAACTGGTGGCCAGACTGGGCCTAGTAGTTGTACTGTCCCGACCGGTGTCCGGCAGGTTGGGCCTAGTAGCTGTACTGTCTCGACCGGTGTCAAGAGGAAGAGGAGGAGTTTGTTGGTAACCAGGGGGCGGGCAAAATATATATGTTAAGAGGGCGTTTTCAAATTTAAATTAATAAATATACATTTATCATTCATGGGATCTTTTTCCAGTCAGCATAGGGGGAGGATTGTTTCTTGTTGATGCAACTATAAAGATTTATTTTATGTTTTAAAAGGAATTTAGAAAGGTTCAGGGTAAGGAGTTTAAGCGTTTAAAATTGTTGTTTAAATCAGTATCAGTGTGTATCTACTGCAGTATAATATTTTTCAAATCTCAGTATAATTATTATCAGTATTAATATAATTACTAATATTTATATTAAATTCCAACTTTAAAACATCTCAAGTCTTTGCACATTTAGCGAAATAAAATTCAGTTAAATTTCCATTATTGTGATGATTAGAAATTTTTATAAAGCCATTTATGAAATTTCAAGCTTTATATTTCTATATTTAAATGAGAATATAATTTGTATTTAATATACGTGTAATAAAAAAAATATATTAATTACATTGTTTTAATACTTAAAATGGCCGATACAGAGATAGAAAGATTGAAATAGATAAATTAATAAATAGTTAAATAGATAGAAGATGGAAAGAAAGTTGGGCATATAGATATATATACATATATATATAAATGTATATTGTATAGATAGAGGGAGAGATAGATGGAGAGACATATAAATTAATAGATAGATAGATAGATAGATATTTAGAAAGATATAAAGATAGATAGATAGATAGATAGATAGATAGATAGATAGATAGATAGATAGATAGATAGATAGATAGATAGATAGATAGATAGATAGATAGATAGATAGATAGATAGATAGATAGATAGATAGATAGATAGATAGATAGATAGATAGATAGATAGATAGATAGATAGATAGATAGATAGATAGATAGATAGATAGATAGATAGATAGATAGATAGATAGATAGATAGATAGATAGATAGATAGATAGATAGATAGATAGATAGATAGATAGATAGATAGATAGATAGATAGATAGATAGATAGATAGATAGATAGATAGATAGATAGATAGATAGATAGATAGATAGATAGATAGATAGATAGATAGATAGATAGATAGATAGATAGATAGATAGATAGATAGATAGATAGATAGATAGATAGATAGATAGATAGATAGATAGATAGATAGATAGATAGATAGATAGATAGATAGATAGATAGATAGATAGATAGATAGATAGATAGATAGATAGATAGATAGATAGATAGATAGATAGATAGATAGATAGATAGATAGATAGATAGATAGATAGATAGATAGATAGATAGATAGATAGATAGATAGATAGATAGATAGATAGATAGATAGATAGANGTTGTCTAGTTGTCTAGTTGTCTAGTTGTCTAGTTGTCTAGTTGTCTAGTTGTCTAGTTGTCTAGTTGTCTAGTTGTCCAGTTATGCAATTGTATATTTGTCTATACTTGTTGTATATTTGTCTATAGTTGTCTAGTTGTCTGCAGTTGTCTGGTTGTCCAGTTATCCAATTGTACATTTGTCTATTCTTGTCTAATTTTTACCTTTATCATTTGTGAGCAGAGCTGAACAGTACGTTGTGTGATTTATATTTATTGTTTATGGCAGCCTGGCATTTATTGCTGTATTGTCGGGATTATATATTTTATAGTCCTCTATATAGTATATAGAGAACCCGCCAATAGCCGGCTCCAGCTCTACACAGGAAATGATTTATGGTATAAATCAAAAAATCCACAAAAAGCCTGAATAAAGTAATATATAATAAAATGAAGGATTAGTAGGAAAACTAGGTATTTATTAACATGTTTCGCGGCTCCTGTGTGAGTCAAAGAAAGTTTGTTCTTTCAAGGGACTGTCAGCGTTTTTTGAAGAATGTTATTATTGATAGATTCAATTTTCTTGCTCGCGGCAAAGCTGTAGAGACCCACGTGTCCTTCCATCCAGTTTTTTAAAAAAATTTGGAATTAAAACTTGTCTGTCATTTTTTCTCTCGTGGACAATTATGGTGCCGAGCGATGTTACCCTATAATCCAAAATTTAAAGGACGTCCCTATTTCATTTTGTGATTTAGCTACAGAGTAAACAGTTATTAGAACTGTTTTATGATTTAGCTACAGAGTAAACAGTTATTAGAACTGTTTTTCTCGCGGATTTTGTACTCAAGTAGTTTTCCATTCTTTGTGGGTTTGATCCCAAAACTTAAGACAGGTTATTGTTATGAAACTGCAGTATCAGAAACCGGGGTTCACAACAATTATAGACTAAAGAAGAAGGAACATTACAAAAGAGAAAATTAAATGAAAATGAAGAAATAAAATCTATTTTACAACAAAGATTTTTTTTAAATCGTTAAAAAATATAAAAAAATATGAAACATTCGCAGTCTATTCACGTATAATAAATGTGCACGCACATTGTGAACATTGGAATCAATTTGTTCCTGAGGGGG